TTGGAAGGTTCTTAACTTCTAAGAAATCAGTAAAAAGCAGCTTCCTAAAGTAATTAAGAGACTTTAGGCAAACCCAGTGTCTCTTTGAAAGGTGCCGAACTGTGGCTTAGGAAGGATGTTTTCCCCAGCTCCCAGAACTCTTAGACCCACTGGAGATCACTATTTTACGATCTCTTTGCAGGGAGATTCTGTATGGAGCAAACTTGTGGGTGATCCTTGTCCTCTCCTTAATCTGGAGAGGGGTTCCTAGGAGCCGATCCATTCACTGGCTTCTCTTTTCACTGCAGTCATCAGCTCCACAAAAGCGGAGCTGTCTTCAGTCCGCCATTGCTGTCCCCCGAAGTCCTATAGCAACATTTTTTTTAATGTAAAAAGTCATGGTACAAAGAGCCAGTAGTTACCAAAAAAGGTGGTCATGGATACTCATACAAAGAAATTCAGAAAGTTATATTACTGTATGTACTTTTTAAATGACATAGATTTCTCAGGATTCTGAAAATTATGTAAAATATAGAGTAAGAGGTGAATGTATTTTATATCTATACCTGTACCAAAGAAAGTCAGAAGTTACTTTTTCTCTTCTGTATTTTCTTTCTTTTGCTATTTTCTTTTTTTTCCCTTGATTTTTCTGCATTTCACTTTTTACTGAAATTTAATAAAGCTCTTTTAAAAAAAAGGATTCTGAAAATTATGTAAAATGTATGACATTTTTAAAAGACAACTAGAACATTTTATTTGAAGATGAGCTAATTGTCAGGTTCCAATTTTTTCCCCCAAGTTTTGCATAAATATTTAATTTCCCCACTGTATTAACTGATATGTGTATATTTTATTGATAGAGGCCTGATGATTTTCCGGTACATATGAAACGAGGCGTTCCTGATCGACTTCTTTACCGGACCACTATGGCATTAACAATAGGAGGGACCATCTACTGTCTGATAGCTCTCTATATGGCTGCCAGTCCCAAAAGAGAGAAGTAAATAATATATGTCCTGTAGGAACTGTCATCTAACTATGCTCTGGAAAGGAAGACCTTAATACTTCAGTCATATGATAGTATATTCTTGGGTTTCATGTTGAGTTAAAGACAAATAGAGAGTAATGTAAGGAAGTTAGAGTAATCACTACCATGGTGGGGAAAGTCATTACCACCTATGCAGTTTTGCAGATTCCTCTTTGCAGTTATCAGTAAAATAAATCTCATGTAGAGTAGTTAGTCTGAAGAACTTCCCAATAGTAAGGCGTGATAAGTTGATGGTTGAAATTAAATTGTTGCGTCGTACTTTAACATTGCTCTCCTGCCCAGAAGTAAGAGCAAATAGAAGTTGACACTTAGGTGATGAAGAAGGGAAAGGCTACTATTAGGGTATTCGTAAATGGCAAGCTGTGAGAGATACATAAATCAGAATCTAACACTGAAGATGTTCCCTACATCTATTGAAATCTTGGATGTACTTTTTTGTGAAGTCACTTGGCAAAGAACTATTTTGTTCCAACCTACCACAACTTTCTGTTCTGAATAACACTTCATTAATTCTGCTTCTGTCTGCACATTTCTTGGAAACAGTGTTGCACTTAAGATAGGTTCAGTGTGGCACATTAATTCCACAATGGTTCCCTATCACTTCTGAAATCTTTTTGTTTTAACATTGCAATAAGTACTGATAAATAAATGTTTTATCCCTGCAGATTTGTCTACCTTTTTCTTTAATGGATTAAGTGGAATGATTTCTAAGACGTTGGTTTGCTTTCCATTTTTGTCACTAGATAGCTGATTTTCTGATAATTTATTACAATTCCAGAGTTGTACAAAACTATATACCTAGATATATCTGCATTATTATCCACATAAATGGTCTGATATTTCCCCAAAATTAAAATAAGTGAAAGCATCACTGTATTTAAATTCTGTGCTAGCTTTGTTGAACCACATCCAGTGAGCTAGCCATGAGAACCCGGAAGTAACAGCATAGCCTAATTCAGTAAAATAAATTTGAAATATTTTTTCAGTGACAGAAAATTAAAACAGTAACGAGCAAAAAAAGCAGTATATAAAATTGATGTGAAATATGTCACGATTAAGAATATTTTGGGGCAGGGGTGTGAGAAAAGGCCCTGTGTATGCACACGCCACTTAAGCAGGATCGGGCCTGGTTAATACTTGAATTCTAAGAACTTTTTCAGAAACAACATTACCAAGACAGATATCCCACATCTATCTGTGCATTTGATTTTTGATTTTGTTCCTTTGTTTATGTCTCTGTTAAATTTTATATTGTTGTTTGCAGATTATTAATCAAAATAATTTTGAATGTTACTTCTGCCTTACAAGGTATTACCTAGTCCTCCCAATTTTCTGTTAACTGAAAATTTGATAAGCATTCACTCCTCTTCTCCAGCCATATTTTTAATAAAATAATTGAAGCATAGAGGACCCAGGACTGACCCTTCTGGCACTCAATACTTCTCTGTAATTAGATGAGGAACAACTGATGATCACTCTTTTGAGTATGATTTTGAATGAACTAAGATGTATTCAATTGTCACGCAATCCAGCTCACATCTAATCAGTTTGCTAATCAGCATGTCATAGAGTACTTAATCAAATGCTTTGCTGAAGACAATATGCTATGTTACATCTTCAGCATTCCCATAATCTTTTAAGGAAGGTGGTTTTCTAGGGGGAGGAGGGGGGATTATGCCTTCAAGTCATTCCATGCAGTTTTCTTGGCAAGATTTTTCAGAAGTAGTTTGCCATTGCCTTCTTCCTAGGGCTGAAAGGGAGTGACTGGCCCAAAGTCACCCAGCTGGCACCTTCAAGATTTCTCAAAAGATAATACACGTGATTGGATAGCTCCTTCAATGCCCCATGATGCAGTTCATTAGTTCCTAGAGATTTAAACTCATTCAAAGTAAAGCGGTATTCCCTGATCATGTATCTGTCATCTCAAGTTTCAATCCTAGCCCTTCAATTAAAATTTCCTGGAAGAACACAGCTTTGTTTGTTGGAGAGGATGGAACCCAAATAGGAGTTTAGCTCTGCCTTGCCTTTGTCATCTGTTAGCACTTTGCCAACTTTACTGAGTAACTGGTGTGTTGTTTCTTCTTGTTCAGTACATGTCACCAAAGAAAAATGTGCACAAGTAGCAGAGAACTGTAGAAGTGATGATACAAAAGCTAAGATTCAGAATGAACTGAGATTGGTAAAGGATGCCAAGAACAAGAACACTTCTTGAGATGTATTCAAAATAAAATTATCAGATACCACTGCTCAATGAAGATGGTAAAATCCTAAAAAGTAATAGAGCTATTCAAATAGAAAAATATGCCAATAATGATACTGAAAGTCAGCAAAAGTTCTAGAAAAATTAGCAGGGCTGCATTCCCCCCATCCAGAGATGTACAGTAGGTATTCCACCAAGGTGATTAAAGCAATTATGAAATTAATCTTTAAGTATTTTGCAGATAAGCCTGGAACTATGAGACTTCTTGCTCACCTTTCCCAGAAATGCACTATTTGAAATTGGCCTATAATTGATGGATCTGAATGTCTTTGTGCTCAAAGAACAATGCAGATTGTTCACGATGAGCCACCAACTGTTTCAGCTCCTGGTGAATATTCCACATAATACAGAAATATTCTACATGATACTTGGTGAACATTCTACATAATACAGAAAAGCAAAGTTGGGCTGTTCTGTATGGATACAATGGATAAAATTCTCCAAGCACATTCTGGATACAGTCTAGATCCATCTAGTACTTGAGTCAGATAATTTTAACCAGTCCTCCACCTCTGTAGCAATATATATAGTCTGACCAGGTAGTGATGTCTCCTTGACAATAATGTTACCTAGATCTCTTCCACTTTCAACTGGCCTCCTTTTCCTGCCATGCTCAGGTTATAGCTTCTTACCGTATCTCCTCTTGCTAGTTATTACTTTAATATAATCGCCCAGACTGTATTCCATTCCCCATTCTCGGGATGCATCTCTAGCAACAGACTACAGCCAACTAGCAGTCCAGATCCCTTCCTCCAATGTTCCCTAATGCCCACATACAAATAGAAAAATAAAAGAGGGGGAGGGCTTCAGTCCCAAGATTTTCCTAAGGGGCTCCCAAATCGGAGTCTCGCCAATTCTGTCATCTCAGGATAGCATTGAAGACCCAGAACCAGGTGGTTGATAGAATCCTGGTATCAGTATTGTATGTGGCTTCTACAAAGCTGTTTTCCCCAGGTAGCAAAAGAGGCAAGCAGGGAGGCAGAAGTATGATAAAGCATGTATTCCCTCTCTCTCAACTATTTAGGTTCAGTGATGGCCTTAGTCTCTTTTCGGGGCTTGCCAAGATTAAAACTAATCAAGCTTGTATGAATTTAACTGTTAAGGGGTTTATTAATTCATAATTCTCAGGCTTTACACAATGTGCTTTATACATCATCCTTTACACAACATGCTAAGCTCAAATCCAACCATATTATAGTCCATCATGTTGCATGAACATAGCTATAGAGTCCAGTTTACAACAACTGTCCTTGGAAACAAGCACGGTAGCCTTAGCTTCAGTGATAGAAATGTAATACAATAATGAGTTTTCCTTCTAAAAAGGAAATGTCATATTGGTATATACTTTCTATGGAAGGAGATGAATATAATTATATCCCTATCTCTAGTCCTCTGTGTGTGTGTGTGTGTGTGTGTGTGTGTGTGAGTGAGTGAGTAGAATATTGATCTACTCATATTCAAGAAAAAGGATGATAATGGAACTAAAAACTCAAGATGGTAGTTAGTAATATTTTTATTTGGTACAGTGCAATACCAATGTACTCTTTCCTCCTTATAACAACTGTGAGGTAGGTGGAATGAGTGAGTATGACTGTCCCTAAATCACCCAATGAGAGACTAGAACCTGGGTCTCTCTGCAACTAGTTTAACCTTTTAGCCACTAGGCTACCCTGTCTGTTGCTGGGGGCATGAGTTTCTCTGAGGTGCTCCTGAAGCCACAGGTGCATGCCATTTAATATTTAGAGCTCTCCCACACATGGGGGCAGTGACAATCTGAGATTCAGGCTCCATCCTTGCCCCTTGTATGTCTACAATGTGGGGCTTGGGAACGTGGGCCAATTAACTATCAGCTCAGCTCCCATTGCAGAAGAAACACTATAAACACAGTTCCATGGTGTTTCCTTTGGAGTTTCAGAGCAAGTGGTTTCCCAGTGGTAGGAACTCCTGCCCACTTCTGCCTCTCACCTCATGGGATTTCCTCCCTCATCACAGATGATGATGCAACTCTGCCTTGTCACCATCCTTCCATCCTCCACAGTTGCCCTGAATGGTGGCTTCATCCCTCAGCAGTTCAGGCTGGTTTTTAGAAACATTTTCTGTCTCCAACTGCAAAAGAAATCCCAAAACACAATGATGGAAAAGGTGAGCGGCTGGATAGATGCTGCTAGATGTTTTAGTGCTTCCTCACTGGCCAGCTGGAGGAACAATGGATGACTAAGGGAAGATAAGGATGGGGGCTGACTTCTGTCAGTTTCCCCCACCTTTCCTTTCAAGCTAATCCCTTAATGGAGAGAGAGGGAAATCTCAGAGGATAAGTTTGAATACTTAGATTTTACAGTTACTGATGATAAAGTTTTACAGGAACCTTATTATCTTTTCCACCTCCAACTTTCTTTCTTTCTCTCATATCTAATTTTAGTACCATGGAATGGGGAAATCTGTCTTTTCAGTTATAAATGTTGCAATGTTAATGGTGCAGTATAAATAAATAATAATAATGTTTATTCTTCACAGAGCAGTGAAGCTAAAGTGATTCTTGCATACATTTCCCAAAATGATATGTGGACCAGCCTACCTTTAAGCTAAAGCCTGACACTAAAGGATCTCTTTTGCCTTGAATTTAAATATCCTTTATTATTGTTGGATACTTAACTATATATTTGTAGCATATGGGTTTTACTAGCCTGGCATTGCTGCTCTTCTGGAGCCAGCCACTGGAATAGTAAAAGGGAAGATGCTGCTCAGTTCTGGCCTCGAATGGCATCTGTGCTGTCACAAAGGCTGATGAGCTGACCTGGCTGCTAGCCAGAGCTGGTGAGGGGAGATATAGAGACAGCAGTCCAGCCTGGAATACAGGTGTTGGGGAAGAGGACCCACCACCTCAGTTGCTGGGGGACATGCTGCCGGTCTGACTAAAAAATTGGAGAGAGAGAAGAAGAGAGGAGAGAGAAAAACAGAGTGAATGGAATGTCTGGAAAGTAAAGTTGGAGTGAGAAGTTAAGTATGTGGAGCAGTTGTCAGTTCCAGGTCAGGAAGGGAGAAGAAAGGTCCATGGGTGACTTCCCTGGAAGAAGGGAAGTGAAGACCCAGGGGGATGAGAGCTCCACTGAAGACCCAAGATGGGATGGAAGGACCCGGCAGGCTGCAGGCAGTGGCTTCACCCAAGACCCAAGAAGGGAAGAAAGAGATCGGCTCTTGGTGGTGAAGCCTTAGCTCTGGGGAAGGACTAGGCAGAAGACCCTGAGAGAGGTTCTTCCCCCAATGGAGAAACAGTAAGTATTTGGCTGAGCAGATTCAGGAGAAGGTCAAGCCGTGCCAAGCACACTACAGCAAAATTTCAGCCCATTCCTTTATTTTTACTGTCTCTCTCTCTTGTTAAGCCCAGAAATGGGGGAGGGAGTTGA